CTCCCCCGCGCCCCCTGGCGGGCTCCTCAGCCCCTCTGAGGGGAGGCGCGGCCTGCGGGGCAGCAGGAGCCCTGAGGGAGCAGGAGCCCTGAGGAGGAAAAGCCCTTTTTACTGAGGAAAACTCCCCTTTGGGAGGAAAAAAGCTCCGCTTAGAAAGCGTCCAGCAGCCCATCCGTGACATCCTTGTCCTCCCCGCTGAGCAGGCTCAGCTGCTTTTACCCATTTCCCTGCTCCCCTGGAGGGTGTTTTATTCGGGATTGCGGCCCATCGGCTGCTGTTGCTGCACCATGGCTGGGCTTCGGTGGATAGGAAGTGTCAAGTGCCATTTTAGAACGTCACTTTTAAGTGGAGGAAGGCACTGGAATGCCTCCCGATGCTGAGCGTGTGTCACAGCTTCTAAGGGCTTGGCGCAATGGAAGAGCATCCAACCTCCCCGGCTCCGCGCACAGCCCAGGCAGCCAGCACGTCCCTGTGCCCCCTTCTCTGCCTTCTTCTGCACCATATATGGGCTGGATCCACACAAGTCCTTCCATCGACTGCCCTGGAGCCGGCTCTGCACGGGCTGCTCAGTGAGGAGGCAGCCCAGCATCACACCCTGTGTTATCTGCCGAATTAGACAAAAAGACAAGGAGTGACTCATTTCAACCTTTTTTATCTCCCCAGGCATTCTTTCTCTCCCTCTCTCTCTCAGGCACGCACACACACACACACACACACACTAAAATTTCACCCAGTGCTGCGGCGCTGGGAGTTTTGCAGAGATTTGCTGCTTGGTGCAAGGCAGCACAGCTCCCTCCTCTGCGTTTCCTCCTCAGGGCTGCTCCCAGCCACAGCTCACACAGGGAAAGGACTGGAATTTGGCACAAACCCTGCACAAGCTGGAATGGGGGCACAGATGTACCACACCAACCTGCTCTGGGCACTGCATTCCCCCTCACACCTTCCCCAAAGCCTCTCATCTCAGCTCCACATTCTCCCTGCTGTCAGAAAGGCCTAATTTCAGCCACTGCTTTGCTCTCTGCTGGGTAAGTTTCCTTCTAATCTCAATAAAGCCTCCAGGATTTGAGCCCAACCAACACAGATAAATCGTTGGCTTTGGCCTAAAAGTCAGCCAATTTAGCCCTGGCAGATTTGCTCCGTCAGAGGTCACTGAGAAGCTGAGATTTACTACAGACACTTGCTTTTTCTTGGCTTTGTGGTGAAAATCAAGTCCCTCAGTGACACTCTTAACACCTGCTGTTCTTCTACAAGGGAAACCACTATCCTTCTGGGAAGAGGTAAGTTCCTGTGGTTTATGAGGCTTTTTCTATCTCTGATGTCACTCTTATCCTAAAAACCCCAAGTCAAGAGCACAGGGACAACCAGCATGCTGCCCAGAGCAGGGTGGCTGGTACAAATGAGCTTTCTGGGGTTCACTGTGGGTGTCCAAGATAGCAGTTCCTTGTCTTTTCTAACTGACAATTTGACTACTTCTTTTTGTTGTAACTGTATTCACAAATTCTTATTATTTCATTCTTGAAAACACAGTAGATACTGAACTTCTGTTTTTATCTCTCTTGAAAAAAAATGTCATAAAACTCTCTCTAAATATTGGACAGCTTTCCAGGCTGGGGGATGCACTTCTCCATCACAGTTGATGTCTGCTTCCATCTTGTTCCTGGCCTGGACCTTCAAGACTGTTAGCCATTGGGCAAGGAATGGTCTAAGACAAGGAGTGCCCAAAATGGGTGTAGTTTGGGCAAGCCATTCCAGAAACAGAAATTAAAATTTCACCCAGTGCTGCGGCGCTGGGAGTTTTGCAGAGATTTGCTGCTTGGTGCAAGGCAGCACAGCTCCCTCCTCTGCGTTTCCTCCTCAGGGCTGCTCCCAGCCACAGCTCACACAGGGAAAGGACTGGAATTTGGCACAAACCCTGCACAAGCTGGAATGGGGGCACAGATGTACCACACCAACCTGCTCTGGGCACTGCATTCCCCCTCACACCTTCCCCAAAGCCTCTCATCTCAGCTCCACATTCTCCCTGCTGTCAGAAAGGCCTAATTTCAGCCACTGCTTTGCTCTCTGCTGGGTAAGTTTCCTTCTAATCTCAATAAAGCCTCCAGGATTTGAGCCCAACCAACACAGATAAATCGTTGGCTTTGGCCTAAAAGTCAGCCAATTTAGCCCTGGCAGATTTGCTCCGTCAGAGGTCACTGAGAAGCTGAGATTTACTACAGACACTTGCTTTTTCTTGGCTTTGTGGTGAAAATCAAGTCCCTCAGTGACACTCTTAACACCTGCTGTTCTTCTACAAGGGAAACCACTATCCTTCTGGGAAGAGGTAAGTTCCTGTGGTTTATGAGGCTTTTTCTATCTCTGATGTCACTCTTATCCTAAAAACCCCAAGTCAAGAGCACAGGGACAACCAGCATGCTGCCCAGAGCAGGGTGGCTGGTACAAATGAGCTTTCTGGGGTTCACTGTGGGTGTCCAAGATAGCAGTTCCTTGTCTTTTCTAACTGACAATTTGACTACTTCTTTTTGTTGTAACTGTATTCACAAATTCTTATTATTTCATTCTTGAAAACACAGTAGATACTGAACTTCTGTTTTTATCTCTCTTGAAAAAAAATGTCATAAAACTCTCTCTAAATATTGGACAGCTTTCCAGGCTGGGGGATGCACTTCTCCATCACAGTTGATGTCTGCTTCCATCTTGTTCCTGGCCTGGACCTTCAAGACTGTTAGCCATTGGGCAAGGAATGGTCTAAGACAAGGAGTGCCCAAAATGGGTGTAGTTTGGGCAAGCCATTCCAGAAACAGAACTTGAAGTTTTGTTAACTCCGTTCCAACACTCAGCAGGCCATTGAGAACCCCCTGACCAGTGCAGGTATATGGAGACCTAAAATGCAAATGAATCAGGGGTTTTCTACCTGAAGAGTTTAAATTAATTAATTTGCACCTGCAAAAAAAGGGTAAGAAAATTTATGAGCTCTACCAATGATGGACAAATGAAAGACACCCAGAGGCTTTTGCTGCCAAAGTTATTTGTATTTGTGGGAAGAAGTGTGGTGGAGCCACAGCTTTGTGCTGTCACTGACATTGTAGATGGCTGTGGAAAGCCTGACAAAAGAGGAGGTGAAGCAGCAAACCTTCAGCACAACCAAGACAAGCAATGGAGCATCTTTCTTCCCAAGATAAATCCCTGGTGCCAGGGGCCTCATCCTGCCCCTAGGAAGTCAGCTGTAACACACAGGCAACAGTAGCAAAGATGCAGGGAGGGAGAGGCCAGTGGGAATTTACAATCTTCATTGACTTCAGCAGTAGCAGAAGCAAATTGGGTGTCTGTGGTCTCTGCAGCTCCAGTGAAGGTCTTGTGCTTCTGGGAGGCTCATTGTCAGCATCCTACAAACTACAAAATGTCACCCTGGTAACTCTTAATCCTGCGTCAGCACAGATTGTTCTGCATGCTCTCTCATCTGCAGAGTCTAAAGGATGAAGCTGTCACTGGGGAAATGTTCTGATTCCAACATTCCTGAGACAGCCTGACACAAAGAAAACATAGTTTATTAACATGGTGTAAGATGTTGTGATTCCTATTTATATGGGAGCTTCAAAACACGTCTTTATTTACAGAGAGTTCCTGCAATTAGATCAATGCAGGAATATCCCCCCCATGGTGAGTGGGGTGTGCAGTATTTCCATCTTCTGCTTTCATGGCTATCCTGAATTTATAATAGAGATAATAAAGCAAACACCAGCCATTTGCTATTTTAATGAATATCGGATACTTCCCCCAAACGGGGGGAACCTGGACTTGAGCTCTCTGCATGCACTTTGCTGAGCTCCACAAAGCTTGGAAACTCTCAAAAACTGGCTAAAATGTCACCAGCAGAGGGTTGTTTCTTCATGGCCTGGAACTGGCGACCCTCTCTCTGCTTCCAGACCCAGGGGATCTTTTGCCTCTTCTACAGCCCCTGCAGCACCTCCAGTGCCCCCACTGACTCGAGTGGGAGTTTCACAGTCTATGGATTTCTTCTGCAAGAAGTACCAAGGAAGATCAATATCCTATCAGCCATCCTGTCATAATTGCATGCTTTTGAATAAATCTTTGCAGATAAATAACCTGAAAGCATGAGCCTATCTGCAGAGGCTTTTGTGCTGTCCATACATGCCACAGCCCCTCAGAGTAAGCACCTTCCTTCCATGACCTTTGGATGCCAGAAGCAAGAGCAGAACCTGGTTTTCTTTTCAAAGGCCTTTTGAAAACAGGAACCTTATTTGACCTGGTACAGAAGAGTCTTTTTTGGAAACCCCGTCTAAAATATTTATTTCAAAGAACGCTGAGGTTTTGCTGAGGTATTTTTGTTGCCTCTGTCGAGGTGAGTTTTCTTCTTTTCTGTGAGCTTGTATCTTCCTTTTCCGTTTTAATCTCTGCAGTTTTTTTGAAGAGCACTTGCAGAAGTGGTGTCCGCCTCTAGATGGTGTGTTTTACTCAGAAGAACTTCGTGCCTGGGCATTTACATAACTTTTGCTCACTTGTCTGAGGTTGCAGACACTTTCCAACCAAACCACACAGATTTTAATATTTGTTTTCTTAATGTGAGGACCTGGCTGCAGTGTAATGCAAAAATGATAAAAAAGTATATTACTTAGAAGATTTCAAAAAGTGTATTACGTGGCACATCTGGTTGGATATGTGGAGTATCTACTGTGTAACCTGTATTATTCTGTTTTAATTCTGTAATATTTAATTCCCTAATACCCTTCAATACCCAGGAGGGTAAATAAGTGATATAACCTGGTTAAGCAAATACCCAAGATACAGTTTGAACTTACTTGGAATAGAGTGGTTTCCTTCTGAAGGTCAGCATTTCCGTGCTTGAAGAAAAAACACCAGATAATTTAACCCCTCAGTTTTGGTCACATTAGAAAAGAAACAAGGAGGGCATGGAGGTTTAATACCAGTAGCCTGGGGACAAGGATAAGAGCCATTGAGTTTTGCTGCTTTTTTGGGATTTTTTTTTAAGAAATTGAAAGAACACGTAGTTGTGTTCACAGTTCTTGGGCATAGGAAAGGTACAGTTAAATTAACTCAGAGCAGAAAAGGCACCAGCTGCTTGCAGTGTCCAACTGAAATGTACAAAAAATAATCAAGTAGAATATATGATGAAAAGGAAATTAGATCAAAAAATCTGCTGGGCTTTCATAAGCTAAAATCTTCATAGCACAGGTAAGGAAATTACTCATGTCGGCTACAGTGGGTCCACATTTTTTCCCCCCATTATTTCTAGCCTTAAATTGCTGCTTTTTAGAGGTTTAAAAAAGGCCTTGTATGGAATAAACTTTTCTAGTGCATTATGAGTAATATCTGCTGCTTTTATTTTACATCTCAGCTTAGCAATAGGACTTTCTTGTAAATAAGGGTTATTTCCACTAAAAAGCTATTATGAAGTTATCTTTGATGCTAAGGCTACAGTCTCAGTTCTCAGGTGTAAAAGAACACTTTAGGCTATAAACACTTTGTTATGTCTGCTTAAATACCCTGTTTTCTCCAGGAACAGCCAGGGGAGGAGCAAGGGCACAGCCTGGGCTGCTTCACTGCAGCCTACCACATTTCATGCTCCACCGGCAGGTCCCTGACAAAAAGCCACCACAGAGGAATGAGGCTTTCATGTGGTTATCGCAGGGTGTTGCTAGAGGGTTTCATTTAGCTTTTCACCAGGAGATTTTTCCTCCCGATTGCTGAGAGGCCCATAAATGCCATCAAAAGTACCTCTCCTGCCGAGTCCCTCTCTGGTTTTACTTGCTGTGACCAGGGCTGAGCCATGTGGTTGTTGCTGATTTAATGCCATGTTCTCCTTTGTTGCTTTCAGATGCTGGAGGTGGGTGTTGAGGCTCATTTTTATATGGTCTGGATTTTGGGTTTTTGTTGTGTTTTTGGTGGGTTTTTTTGTTTGTTTGTTTTTTTCTTTTTTTTCCACTTTATATCCCCTAGTTTTAGCAAGGGAACCATCAGGAAAAGACAGCATTCAGAGCCCTCTTGAATGACACATCTGTCCCCCTCCCACTTCTTCTTGGCCTCCTGGTCTTCTTCAACCTCCCACCCTTTGCTGCCCACCCCCTCCCCCTTCAAGGCTCCCCCACTTTTGGACCTCCCATTCACCCACTTTGGGACCCCAACCCCTCCTGGCCTCCAACTCTTTTACAGCCCTCACTGTCTCCAGGCCTCCAACTACTTTTCAGTCTCCCACTGGTTTTTTTGGTCTCTCACCTTCCTCTCCTGGCCTGTTTTTCCACCTCCCACCCACCATGAGCCTTCAACCCCATTTTCTGCCTCCCAACCCTTTTATCAGTCCCTTACCCCCCTTTTACAGCTGACCACCCTCTTGTCTGGCCTGCTCCCCTATTTCAGCTGGCCACCCCTCTCCCATCCCTTTTCCCTTCCCATCCCTTTTCACCCTCCAACCGCTTTTTGCATCTCCCATCCTTTTTGGCCTTCCTCCCCTTCTTGGCCTGCAATGCTGTTTTCAGTCTGTCACCCTTTATTCTGCTTGCAACCCTGTTTTCAGCCTGGCACCCCTTTTTTATCCTCTCACCACTTCTTTGGCTTCTCACTTCCTCCTGGCCTCCCACCTGTGTTTTGGCTGCTGCTGGTCTGGGGTTTCATGAAGGGCAGCACCTCAGCTGGGCCATTTTACATTCTGGGAAACACACCTGGGAGGCTATTGAACACATCTTTTAACAGCAGGTTGTTTGCAAGGAAACTGCTGTGAGCATTTGCGCTGGGAATTTAATCAGGCCCAAAATATTCAGAGAAGCCTCAGCAACAGTGTTCTTCTTCTCCTCGTCTGTCAGCCGGGTGTCTGTGCAGGCAAACGTGGGGAGAAGTGGTAGCTCTGCTCATACTGGTGTTTCCCCTCTATTAGCCTTATCATCTTGCTTTCCTATGTCCCCACAAGCTTTTGGCCATGGCTTCGCATCAGCTGTAGTTCTTATTCAAGATTAAAAGCCCTGCTTCTCTTGGTAAATGGTGGTACCTCTCACACTGGGGGTCCTACCTCACCTGGAGTGGTGGCACAGGTCAAGAAAAGCCCTACAAGGGCCAGGCTGGTCCTTTCTCTCCTCTTAGCCTTGGTAGCTTGGGTTAAACCTTCAAAATGGATGCTGTCAACCCACACATGGATGCAAATTCTTCTCCCCCAAGCTCTCCCCATTCAGCCCTTTGTACCATTCCAGCTCTTTTCACGTGTAAGACATGTTTAAAGTTTCTTCACGCACAAAAAAAACATGTGTCTTCCAAGCCATGCAATTATTGTGAGCTTTCTAAAAAGCAGTGGTGGGATAGACTGTTGCAGTTTTATTTCAGACTAGTATAAAGTTCAAGCAATTAGTTTTGCAGAACAAACCTTGATGTTCCTCCTCCTGTGTCCTTACCTATTTTGATAGTCAGGTAAGGGAGGGAGTTTAATTTGTTATTCCAGCAATACTGACCATTAACCTTGTATCCTCATTTAGGACAATATTTAATCACAAGCTTAAAAAGCCTTGAAAGCAGTCATTTTTATACATGATAATCTGAAACACTGGTCCCACTCAAGGCCTTGGGAGTTAACAACAGGAACATCTGCAAGACAGTTACTGTGCCAATCAATTCCAAACACAAATTACTCAATAATTTACAATAGACCCCCCATTAAATTGTACTGTGCTATTTTTATTGATCTCAGTGCTTATTATGTGTGTTACACTAATTTCTAATAATCTATGTGGCCTTTTCATTTACTTACTGATGCTCAACAGATTTAGCTCTGGTTTGGTACAGAAAATCCTAGGAGGCAGAGTGGATCTCCTATTTCAATTATGATTCCAATTCATTGGATGAAGCAAATCTGAATTAGAAACTAACACTGAGCCTTATCAGAGTGATGGATTCTTGTCCTTCAAAGGAATTCATATATGCCATTATTTTGTTTTTGCTGGTTTCAGAGTCCCAGTCCAAATTTTAGTTTCTGCCCTGGAACCTTTTTTCTCCCCTATGAAGTCTCTCAGAGAGAGAAAAGTCACCTGGCCCTTACTTCACCTTTGCCAGCACCTCTGAAGCAACGCTGGAGTGCAGTTACATTAAGAACCAAAATTACCACCACCCTGTTTCTGCTCTGGGATCTTTTACACCAGAGCTTCTGACTTCCCTCTTCTCCCAGACCAGCCCCAGCGGGGAAGG